ATACCTCGTTGGGAAAATTGTCGGAGGAGAGGGGACTTGGAGAGGGTTGCAGACGGAAAACACATTGGACTGATTCCTGGTTATTTAGCTGGAGACCATTTTCCAACGAACACGCTTAGACATGGTCAAGGCCATCCCTCAGGGACTGAAGAAGAGTTCGATTCTTGAGAGGGTGACCAACAACCACATTGCCGTCATGATTTAGAAACAGACAGTCGTTTGGCGATCTCAGGCCATCAGTGTGGAATCTTGAAGAACTCCACAGCACTTAGTTTTAATAAATGAAAAGGTTCAAAGTAAAGACTTGGTCAATAAAGACTGAGAACCTACGCAGCTTCCCTTGTCTGCAAACCTCTATAAGTACACAGATGCATAAACCAACACGATTGTAATTTGAGTGTTGACATCCATCTCTGTGCACCTCAGAGGCACCATATTTAAAAGACCTGCACCGCCTGGGACGTGTCCCTCGTCATAAGAACCACGAGTTTTTTACATCGTAATAGCATGGACCTCGAAAACTGTTTGACTTTCGTAGAGAACAAAAATGTGGCTGTAGAACGTTTGCATGCTTTATAGGTGTCACAGTAAATTTTTTCTTATCTCTCCGATAAACCCACGTTTCCACTTCTTTAAGTATCTACTCATTGGAGATGTTGGTCGGGGTTGCTTCGCCAAATAAGCTACGACCCTCAATCAAGCCTTAATTGGAGTATAATATGCTATCATATCATTGAAAAAATTTCTGATATTTTGAAGTTTCCCATGAAAATAGCTAACCTGAAGTTATATTTGGTACAAACTTTAGAAGAAAGTTGCACTTGGCGATTTACCTTATTACTCAAATATTGAGAGTTCCCATTGCAATGAGATTTATCTAGAGCTGATATCGTCCACTTAACCCGTCGTTCTACAGGCAAGGATTTTTTCATTTATCAGCTGCATTCGGAGAAAAATAGATCGGAATTGGGCATGCTGAAAGGGTACATACTAAAGATCTTCCAGTCCTCCTGGAAGTTGATGAGGATAATTTTTGTCGGAATTATTGCTTGTATCATAAGTCGAAAGAGCTCCAAGGGTTTTATTTTATGTAAAAACATAGTTTCACTTCGATCTAACATGACAAACATTTCAGTAAACCATATTCACTATCTCAGTTGTTCCATCCTGGTAGTCAGAGTTGTCTTAGTGAAGTCACAGCCTATGCACAATCTTGTAGACGGCGAAACCCAATACTGTCCTGAACGTTAGTTATTTTTCAGACCAAAATATAAGGACTCAAGACATGTGCTTCATCCAGCATCCTAGATGAACACTGCGCGAGTTAGCTCGCTTGCATTATTTGTAATATTTTATGGGCTTTCATCCGACTGAACATCCAGAAACCTTCTCCATCCAGTCCACGTCCTTCGTAACTGCTCTGAGAGGAGCTTACATCTGTCCTGGTCGATTCGTGGCAAATAAACTAATGCTGGAGCGATTGAATTGAATTCCTTCGTCGGAATGGTCAAGGATGCATTTCTACCGCGTGAGGAGTGTCCATTATTCTAAGACGTGTGGATAAATAACGTCCAAATAGCACGGAAAGTATTTAGGAGACCGCTGTGTGCATGGCAGAAGAGTTACTAAATCCGCACCAACTTGACTATCTTACAAGTCTGCACTGCAGAAACCCTATCTTTATGTTATGGTCCGGAAGAAAGGTGGAACATGATGAGAGCCGCTTCGGAGGACAAACATCTTATTGGAAGCTTACGAACAGGAGGGGTTACGGCTCGTCAAAAGATGCTCGATTTATGTTGGCCCCCTTGCGTTCTGGAACATTCAGTCCAATGCCGTGCCAGCCGTTGAGGGCGTTCTAGAATGTTCCTGCCCGGGGCGTGTCGACCGCTGATTGGTCACCGTGTGCGCGATAATCCCCCCACGGAAACGTCTGGAATGTTCAACCAGCCATTGATTGGGCCACAGATGTGAGGAAAGCCACCCAACGTGCTCGGCGCTGCAGTGCACGCCGGTCGGCCGTCTAACTTCCCGCACGTGTATCACGCCGCCGGCTCGGTCCTCTGTTCAGCGCCCTAAGCCTTGGCTCCACGCCAGCTGCGCCCACCATAACACTTTAAAACGCAAGAACTCACGGCAAGATCTCATTTCGTGGCCCTACCTGCTAGGGGTTAGGATTAGGGGGTTAGAGGCCAGGGTTAGGGGTTAGGGTTAGGGGTTGGGGTCAGGGGTAAGGGTTATTCTGGGGTTTGTCTACTGCAGGTACGGCCACGAAATAAGATCCGGCCGGACTCACGAATTCAAGATTTTACGAGACCAGGTCACGTCCATTTTATAAAACGATAGATTTCGAAAGAACCTTGGGCAGGACAAACCTGTCATAGAAACTGCAACTTAAAGAGATTACTGATAAACAACTGAAATCCAAACTGAATAGTTCCAGCCATTTTCTATCTTTATCTGATCATGCACCAAATTACGACTAAAAAACTAGTACTTAATCCGAGATAGTGGCTTTGCATAAATAGTAGTGAAAATGCTACCCCCAGGTGCCATATCAAAAGAAGAGGAGGCGTTCACCTCTCCCGGTGAACGCTTTGCTTTGCTAAATTATATGAAGTACTTTTATAAGGTCTAAATCTGTGCAGAACTTTTGTCGTCCCTATTCTTGATGTGTTATTCATCCTTTCCAAAAGTGCATTTCACATCACTGACCCTGCCCTAACGAATCCGCACCGCAAGGCCTTATGTAAGTTGTACTTTCTTTTGGCTGGCAACAGACAACAGACATTATGGCTTCGAAGAAGCACAACGAAAAACAGCGGTACGTTATGTAACTGCGTGCCATGACAGTTGAACCGCCGTGACTGGCTTTGTTCACTGTGGGATGGGAGCGGGCATAGGGACTTGTTTACAGTGATGGCATGCTCGACCAGCCTCTACCGCACTCCTCCTTCCCCGCCTGTGCCCGGTGTCAAGACGACCGGAGAGGGCGCAGTTTGCTGACACAACGAAAACCCGCACCTAGGCGTGCCACCACAAAACTGCATGTCATAGTGCACTATGCAAACCGCAGAAAAGCAGCCTTTCCGCCTTGATGGCGTATTTGAGGGGTTATCTTGTTGTGATCAAGCGGTGAGAAAGTGGATATTCTGAGCGCCACCATAATCAGGGGGAAATGCTATGTTGGAGAGAGAAGGCGGAAGGCACCAGAATGAGGGGTTTATTGTGCACAGAACCCCCAGTTGTCCTCTCAGGCTGCAGAAGCCACCGGCGAAGCCAGGACTGTTGTTGACTGCGTCCAGTCAGGCCTGAGATAGTGGTGGCAGCCGTTTTTATTAGGCTCGTGGGTCAAGCTCAAGTGGTGTCCAGTCAGTGTGTGTTTCATTTGCCGAGGGGTGGTGCCCCAGTGGCTTGTTTTGCTGGTTGCAGGGCTGCGGCTGTGCGGACGCAGGTATGCCCCAACTGATGTCGGTCGTGTGACTTCAGATCAGCTCGTCTGGGACGGCTGGCTGCAAGGGGTGAATGACCTTGAGGCAGCGAGGTCTTGAACAATGACGCCGGGCCATTCATGATGGCTAGCCGCCACAATCTCAATCCTGGAAGGGTTTCGATGCGTGCTGTCGAGGCGGATGCAGATGTTTGAAAGTTTTCTGTTATTGTGTGTTAGTGTTTGGGTAGAACAGAAGAGCGTTTGTTGTGGCGTTCACCTACTGGTTTTTCAAGGGCTGTTTCTTTGTTCATGACAGTGAAAGCGTTTGCATTTCCATGGGCGATGATAAAAAGAGGAGAAGGACCGTTCGAAAATGCAATTTAGTTTAGACTGAAAATTTTCCCACCACCAAGAGCCATGACAGATTATTAGGTAAGGCGAATTCCTCCGAATTTCTGGATGTACTCCTTTGCTGTTGTTGTGTCAGCAATAGAAGAGAGAGAGAGAGACATCTCGAACGGCATACTGATCTGGTGTCCAGACCTCCAAACGTGCCTATTACCAGTTTGAGATTGGGCTGCTCAACACAAGGCCGTTTTTTGTCCAAGGAATTTTAAAGTTCCGAAAATTCCCATGGAGCAATTCAGGAGAGTATCTGGCGGGCATATACCTGCTTTCGATAAATTCTCATCGAGTCAGTACATTTATGTAGAAACGAGGTACAAAGCAAAAAGTGTGAGCGATAAGAAAAATCGATTACGGTTCGTCTTTTCATACAAGCGCGGTGTGTGAATAGGGGAGGGGAAAGTAGGCAGTAAGTGGTCGAAGATCGATTAACTGCATGCACGTCTACGTGCCCCCGTCCCCCCTCCGCATGTGACACGCCTCTACCTAACCCTCACTGCCACTTACTGCCTCCTTCCTCCCCCCCTCTATTCACACACCCCGCTTGCATGAAAAGACGAATCGTAATCGATTTTTCCTATCGCTCACACATTTTACTTTATATCTCGTTGTCATATGAGGATTCTTGAACATCTAAATTTAGGCGGCCACTTTGATATTTCGATCGTCAGAACAGAAAAGCCCATTGAGGAAAACACCTTTTTCTCATTTGAATCCTATCCTGTCTAGATGCCACCGTCCCTGAGAGCTGGTTATGTCATACGAGTATATTTAGAGCCGGAACTTTAAATTTGGAAGGGATACGCGAGCCGAAACGATAGTGGGTGATTCAGTAGCGTCCCATGGCCTGTCGCCTAGATAAAACTGATTGTGTCATCTCCTGTCCGAAGCGATCTACTACGCAAAACCCTATTTGCTATTACTAGCTTCAAACAGATAAGTCTGTTAGCTGGTTACACAGGGCGACTTTGCGCAATGTATGCATTCTCGGCTCCCTCTTTGGAGTATCACGACAGATCACAGCAGTTAATATGCTGATAACGGTTTTGCTGATGGTGGTGGTGGTGGTGGTGGTGGTGGTGGTGGTGGTACCGTGCACGAACTCCTCTTCGGCGACGACTGCGCCCTGAACACCACCTCGGAAGAGGAGATGCAACGGAGCATGGACCTGTTCTCCGCCGCCTGCGAGAACTTCGGTCTGGTCATCAACACCCAGAAGACGGTGATGATGCACCAACCGCCACCCAACTCGGCCACAGCCCCTAACGCGCCGCCGCAAATCAGCGTGAATGGGACCCAACTGCAAGTGGTGGAGAACTTTCCATACCTGGGCAGTACTCTCTCCCGCAACACCAAGATCGACGACGAAGTCGCCAACAGGATCTAGAAAGCCAGTCAAGCCTTCGGTCGCCTCCAAAAGCACAGTTTGGAATCGTCATGGTCTCCAACTGAGCACGAAGCTGAAGATGTACAAGGCCGTCGTCCTGCCGACGCTACTGTATGGAGCGGAGACTTGGACGGTGTACGCAAAGCAGGCACGTCATCTGAACCACTTCCACCTCAGTTGTCTTCGTCACATCCTGAGGCTGAACTGGCAGGATCGAATCCCCGACACTGATGTGCTGGAACGGACGGGAATCCTCAATCTACGCCATACTGAGGCAAATTCAGCTGCGATGGAACGGCCACCTGGTGCGCATGGACGACGAGCGACTACCCAAACGACTCTTCTACGGAGAAGTCGCGACGGGTTCTCGCCGTCAAGGGGGCCAGATTCGCCGTTACAAGGATACCCTGAAGTCCTCCCTGAAATGCCTGCAAATCAGCCCCACCAACTGGAAGGAGCTCGCACTCGATCGACCGGCCTGGAGGAGGACAGTGAAGACAGGCGCTGCGATCTAAGAAGCCAACCGTATCGCTGCCGCCAAAGCGAAACGTGAAGCCCGCAAATCACAACTTCGCCCAGTAAGCAACGCCGCCGCGCAACCGCTTCCAACGTGTCCTCGATGTCAACGGACATTCCGGTCTCGAATCGGACTTGTTAGACATCTTCGGATTAACTGCGCCTCTCGAACGGCACCAACCATCGTCCTCCCGCCTGCCTCTTCCTCCTCCTCTCCGCAGCCAAATAACCCTGACAATTCTTCTGACCCACCACTTCCATCATCCTCTTCCTCCTCCTCCTCCTCCTCCTCCTCCTCGCCCACTGCTCCAACGGCGGCCGCTCAGGCGACTGTCCCACGCACAGCAATCGACACTACCACCACCTCCCTCGACTCCAGGGATGAGGATCAGGACTACACCTGCCCTCACTGCGACCGTACCTTCACCTCACACATCGGCCTGGTCGGTCACTTGCGAATCCATCGCACAGAGACTGGCGAACCAGTGCGCGAAGCACCAACCTACACCCACCGCACTCGTCTCCACTGCCCACACTGCCCTCGCACTTTCAGGCATCGCATGGGCCTTTTCGGCCACATGCCCATCCACGAGAGCGGCCTTGCCCGCACTCCTGACACACCCACCACATCCAACACATCCACCGTGCACACCCCCACTCTCGTTCCATCCGTCCGCGACACCACCACCACCACCAGCACCGCCTCCTCTGTAGCTGACACTGACACCGTAGACTTCTCATGCCCACACTTTCCACTCACATTCACCTCACGCATCGGCCTGGTCGGTCACTTGCGAATCCATCGCACAGAGGCTGGCGAACCAGTGCCTGGAGCACCCATCTATACCCACCAAGCTCGTCTCAACTGCCCACACTGTCCTCGCACTTTCAGGCATCGCATGAGCCTATTCGGCCACATACGCATCCACGACGACCTGCGGTAGACAACCGCCGGCCACACCACACATTCACTCACTCCCTACCTCCTCCTCCTCCACCACCACCATCACCCCACCAGAAATCAACACTCACACACCTCATGCACCCAACTGCCACCTCCCACGCAAGTGGGAAGTCCGCATCTCGACTCGGTCCCCATGCGGCTTCGGCTGCACGAGTGACTTGAGTCCGAGACTATCCCGGCACGTCAAGCGTCGTGGATAGGAAGGTTGCTGATTGACGCCCGCTCTCGGTTCACGCAGTTCGTCGCGTTGTGTGTGTGTGTGTGTGTGTTGTGTGTGGAGTGGCGGACTGGTGGGCTGGGAACGGGCTGAAACCGCACCTTCCACGCACTCTCACGCAAGTGAGAGACACGCTGTTCAACCCCCGTTGTGTGAAATCCTGGTTTTGTGTGTATGGGGGGCCAGGTCGTGCCGTGGCGCGCGCAGTCATGGTCAGTCGACCATGACAGCCACCGCGCCCATTCCCCACTCCAGTCTGCTGACCGGCTCGGACAGCGGCTGGGGTGTGGGAGTGGGAAGGGAGAGTGAGGTCGACGACTCAGCGCACTTTCTCCTCACCATAAACAATCTGACGCGCTTGAAGCTATCACGGTGCGCTAAAAGCCGTGGCTTGGAAGGTTGCCAACTGACGGGGTACCTTGGACCTCCTCCTTGAGCGGAGGCGATCTGAGAGTCAGGCTGCAATGGCTCCTTTTTAATGTGGCCTTTATGGCACTCCCATCACAGTGTGGGATCTGAGCCAGGTGTTGGCGGCACGCCCAGGTGCGGCTTCGGCTGTGCTAGCCTCCAAATCTCTCTTGTGTTGGTTGAAATCCTGGTTATTTGTTGTGTGGACCAGGGGGTGTGGTGGAACGCCAAGGTGAGAATCCGTCCGAGCCATCCACCTACGGCCTCTCTCATCTCCGGTCTTCTTGACACTGTCTTGACACCGGGCTCGGGTGAGGGAGGAGGAGAGAGTGTAGGTAGATGCTACGCAAGTCTACCGGCGCTATAAACCCCTGCGTAAGTCACCGTCCCTGCTCCCATTGCTGCTGCAACTGTGGGGCACACGGTGGACATCATCGAAACCGATGGTCGAACTGTCGGTGGTGGTGGTGGTGGTGGTGGTGGTGGTGAGCGATTAACAGTGCTGGATGATGGCGAATTTGTCGGATGTGCGAGGTGTGCTCGATGCGTTGTTATTGCGGTAAATTTCACCGCCATAAATAAGCGTGTAGTCGGCCAGGTCCGTGTGGTCGCGGCGCGATAGGTTCGCAAGTGACCGACCGAGTCGATATGGGGGTGAAAATCCGATCGCAGTGAGGACATTTTGGGATCGAGACCACATTGTTGGTGGTGGTCATGATGATTCTGGTAGTGGTGATGATGATGATGATGATGATGATGATGATGATGATGATGATGATGATGTTACGAGGCTGAATTTTTAGTTTGCATGAGGGATTTCTAAACATTAGGCGCGATAATCCTTATTTTCGTATTCGACCATGCGTTGGATTCTTTTGCGCCAACAGAGGTTTCCAAGTTAGGGCTTATGTGGCTGAATTTGCGCTTTACTGTTTAAAAATACATGTAAGAACAAGAATGGAGGGTTTACTAGCAAAACGAATGACATTTCTGCATATATATTATATCTGTACAGCATCGCTCGAAATGCTATCGCGAAAGCCAGCCCGGGAAATGTTCTGCATACATAAAAAATTAAATATTCATGGCATGCACTCCTATCTCTCTCTCGCAGACGTCAGTTGTTAGGACTGTGGGCTGCATTATTAAACAATTTTCTGCCTTGGTTAGGATTTATGTGCTCTCATAGCCTAAATTTTTCTTGCACTAAAGAAGCGTAGTGTTTTTCGTGTCCGTCAATGAATGCTGGGATGTAAGGAATTGAATCTATCTGTTCTTTCATGATCACCTATCTGGATGATTGTTTGCGAATGATGCCCTAACGATTGAATCGATGCCGAAATAACACTGATAAGCTCAAATGCCCCGTGTTGCTATAAGTAGATGCTTGCAGGAACTATTTATGCGTCGGCCAGCGTACATTTTAGAGAGACTAACTTTTCCTCCCAAAGCGCAGCAGAACTATTCAGTAGCCGTTAGTTATCGAGTCAACAATGTGTATTGAAAGTTAGTTACCAGCAACGGTAGGGTGAAAGACCCAACTTAACTGTCGGTAGACTGTTGATCACGTCACATCTGGTTCTATCTTGGCATCTATTTGCAGGCCTTTGCAGACACTACACTGCCAACAACAATTATTTGTCATGATCTCAAACCATTACTCAAATCTTGTTATTTTTTAAAAATATACCTTTGTTAAGTTTTTTTAGTAACCTGCTCATTTTCGTTGCCATACTAAGGCGAACGATAAGACTTTTAGGTGAAATCTAGACTATTTCTGTTTTCTTGCACTTCGCCAGCTTGCTGTCTGGCATGCTGCATCACCCATAAAACCCCCATGACCACCATTCCCGCATACCACGATTCACAGTCCACCGACAGTTAAGTGGGGTCCCTCACCCTACCCTTGCCTGAGTTACCTTATCTGACCTCTGGGCGGATGTTTGCAACTGCCTTCATATTCCTGAGAGCCCGTACTCATGAGTACATCCTCTAGCGGCAAAAACTAATGAAGTTTGCATGCGTGAATAACGTGGACATGATGTTTGGAGATTCATTGTAACAGCTCTCGTCCAATCGCGTGCGAGTCGACGGTAACGGATTATAAGATCCGGAAGTACGCATATTTTTATTTGTTTTAGTTGTTAATTTAAGTTGTCCTGCAAAAGTTTCTGCTGATAAGAAGTGAGGCCATAAAACTGTAGAGACATTACCTCCCATCTGCAGCCGAAATACTCTTCCACACCAAAGACTTTAATTTAACACGTGATTTTTGCTTCCCCTGCCTCTTAGAATCCGCATCTTTACCAATGTGGACAGCGTACCCGCAAATCTGGGTTCGAGCGGCACTTATGTGCTGCAAGAGTACATAACCAACCCCTTACTGGTAGACGGCTACAAGTTTGATCTGCGAGTCTACGTCCTTATCACCTCCTGTTGCCCTCTGCGGGTTTTTGTCTACAACGAGGGCTTGGTGCGTGTCAGCGCTGAAAAGTACATAAATCCGGTTGAACCAAATGGCGTGAGTCCTCAAAAACTTTTACTTGCGTTGCCATTTCTGCCTACTGTTTTTTACTAGGTAGGCAGTTTTAGACGCTGAAGCAGGCAGGGCCTTGTTGAAAGTAAGTAGAGTGCTGGAGAATTTAAAAAGCGGCGCATCTCACTGACGGCTACCATTTCAGGACAGCATTCCACTTTCTCCACATTTTAACTTTGTCCCCGTCGTTTATAAATCTCAGGTGGTTAGAGCGTTGGCTGCGCTAAAGCCTTCCCCTTACTGCGTGGGTTCGAATCCCACCGAGGCGCCGAGTTTTTCACAGTTGGGTCAATATGAATTATTCAAAATCTGCCAAAATATCAATGAAGTTTATAAATCTGTTTACCACGTAAATGCAGATACATGACGTTTTATGAACGGCCATTTAACGGTATTAAAATATCTCACAATGAGAAACTTTTTTAAAACCGAATTATACTCTTCTTTTAAGTATGAAATTGGAAGAAGACGTGGTTTTCTATTTTACCGAATAAGTAAAAGAATGAATATTTTTATGCATGGTTTCAACGAAATATAATTGAATTTTCAAGGGCATCGAAAATCAATGAGAAAATTGCCTGCTACTTAAGTAGTCATTTTTTGCAGAGTAAAGATCTTGCATGCAGCCGAAAATAAGTTCTTTCGAAAGCCGACACCCTGTGGTAACTGGTTCATTATAGATTTATGCTGCATCATGATTAGTTTTACGACACTACTTAATTTATCTTTTCGAAACGAGAATACATTTCGAACTTTTGGTTGACGTTTCATGATTCAGCACATCTACTGTGCAAGCCGGCAACAACGGTCGAACTGTTATGCGGCGTTGGATTTTTCGACGTTCACATCTTGTCGAGGCTTGGTGTCATTCTGCAAGCTGGTCGGAATTAGCCCGTGGAATTAGCATGAATCGCGTCCCACAGCATGTTCCGGTTTTTTCCAACATCTCCATATCATTTTATATCCATTCTCCCCGGCTTGGCATTAATTTCACGATCGGTTCTCATTTCACTTCACTTCTTGCGCCACGCTGGAGCTTTCGGCTTCGATATAAGCGAGAATGCCAGTTCCAGGAGACAGTCGGAAGAAAGAAGGCGTGATTGCCTGAACAAGAAGTTTACTTATCTGTCAGACAAGGCGGTGAAGGAGACGAAGAACATCATCCGACATCATTAAATATGAAGGCAATGTGGATTCCTGCCAAATGAGCAAAAGAAAGCATATTTTTTGCATGTTCTCTTCAAAATATGTTTGAATTCATAAGACCATCGAAAATCAATAGAAAAAGTGCATGCTACTTAGGTAGTCATTTGTTACTGAGTGTGATTTCTGCAGGAGGTCAAAAATAAGTGCATTCGAAAGCCGACATCCTGGCGAGTCCGAAATGTTATAGGATTATCTCGTTGTCCTATCGGTTTCGATCGGGAATGTACAATGGTAGAGGGGAAGTCGCCTATCACGCCACGGAAATCACTCGCCTCGTTGTGCGTTGGGGCCACACTACACCTACTCAGATAAGATAAGAAGGAAATTTTTTGAACAACTACTAAGGAAGCTTACGTACCCTACCCTTACCGTTATCTTCTCAACAGCATCGAGGAAAAGATTATTTTCTTGCATAGAAAATATTTAGCTGGTAGTTTAGAAATCCTAAATGTATGCTACTTAAGTTGTCATTGTTTTACTGAATGTGGTTTCTGCAGGAGGTCAAAAGGAAGTGCGTTCAAAAGCCGACATCCTGGCGAGTCCGAAATGTTATAGGGTTATGCTGCATGGTAATCAGTATAACAACCCCACTTAAGTAATCCTTCCTAATCGGAAACACATTCCAGAATTTTGGCCAACATTTCATGAGATCCGTCACGCACTGTACTTTACATCGTCGCCTGTTCGTTCTTCGTCTCCACGTGTAAAACCCCTACTAACAACCATGCCGTATTACAGGTGAATGGGGTCTGTTTACTTCAGGTGGGGCTACACAATCAAATCTGACCGCTATCTTAAATTAATTAGCTTGAGATCACGTCCTTGGTTTGTTAACATTGAAACCTTACTTAAAAAATCTGCCATAGTTTGGAGCCCTTTACATATGTTAGTTTCCGCAGATTCTTCGCTTGGACCCCTTAACCTTCTACAAAATGTAAATAAGAGCAAAGACATAGGGGCTTGCTCTATAACTGCAGTATATTTGACGGATTTTAAGCACACATCTTTGGCAGTTTCATGTTTTGCGACTCTACAGGAATCTATGTATAGACACCTGACTAACTACACGCTGAACAAACGTCATCACCAGTACGTCCGTTGCGATGACGAGTCCACTGGCAGTAAACGCTCATTTGCCTTCCTGGACAACTACATTCAAGAGAACCTGCAATCCGACCCACAAATTATCTGGCGCCGCATCCGGAATCTCATCGTAAAGACTATGATAATTGGTGCACCACATATCAACCATGCATACCGCCTCTTTCACCGCGGGAGCGGTCGCCCTACTAGCCTCAGCTATCCAGCCGGTGAGACCGTCCGGGCAGCGAAGGGCAGTACCAGCTGGACTGCCTCATGTTCACAAACATCTGACCGCAAGGCCTGGAATGTGGCGCCTCGGCGAATAGCAAAAAACGGCTCCAACTCCAGCTCCACGGGCGCAGCAACATCTGCCACCGCCACCCCTGACCGAGCGACCGCTGCGATTCGATCGGCCGCCTTTGAGATTCTCGGGTTTGACATTATGTTGGATCGCAACTTACGACCCTGGCTCATTGAAGTTAACCGATCGCCATCGTTCGGTTGTGATCAAGAGCTGGATCTGCGGGTGAAGTCAGGCCTGTTGCGTGACGCTCTGCATCTAATCAATATACGGTAATTTTGGCGAATTTTATTTTCTTAATTTGATTTCTACTTTTCAGTTTTTAGTAAACCGTTTTTGCTAATTTAATATAGCCCGTCTGACAAGCAGATGGCAGAGGAGGCGATGAAGATGCGATCAATCCGACGACTGCTTTCTGCATCCCCCAGTCAAACACTTCTCTCTTCGGCATCGCACGATTCCGCACCATTGCACTCTATAAGTCCAAAGTCCATATCCACTGGCAGTAACAAGCCAAAAGGCGAAGCTTATGTAAAACACGGAGGCCCTAATTCTCAGGACCTGGCGGCTGACTGGCTGCAAAAACCTTCAGAACTGTACAGGCGAATCCGTGAACTGGTATGTCTGGCATGTTGAACCGAGAGACTTGCATCCGCAATTATGGAATTCATTCACCAGCTATGTGTTTGCGAGGAGTGCTCCGCCATCAGTAGTTGGTTTTTGACCTTTTCAAACTAACTGACATATATTCACGGCAAACTGTAGTCAAGGTTCTATTCAACGCACTTACAGAACGTTTCTGAAGCATGCAAAAACGCTTTTTCCCAGATTTATTTCTAGAGTTTCATAGCTCCGGTGTTTCTTGGCAGGCTAACTCGTGAAATATGCGAACGCTATGTGTTACACGCCTCGGATGTTCGATGTTGTATGGAGGTCGGTGGTTCGATTTAGCCCTACGACGTATGCTGTGTAGTTGCGTGGGTTTCCAAACTTTCATTAGTTAACACTAAGAAAATAGCTGCTACTTGTTATTCTAGATATGTCACATGTTATTTACAGACGCCGTAGACAACAAAATTCGGTCTGGCGTTCGACAAGGTTGTATCCTGTCTCTTATTCTGTTCAACGGCGCTATTAACTGGATTATCGGGAGGCCCTTAAACGAAGGTGACGGTACTGAGTTCGCGCCCGGCACAGACTGACTGACCTCGACTATGCCGATGATAGTGCCTTACATGATTCAAGTTTTGGTGATCTGTAGTCAATGGTGTCACGGGTGAACGAGGTCGCTCAATCGGTCGGTTTATCCATAAACGCTGGGAGTACCAAAGCGTTCTCAACCTACATCCCTGACCAGGAGGAGCCAATTTATCGGGATGCATTGCTGTCAACTTGGGGAGGCATACGGTGTTAAATATCTCGGGAGGAGGCTGCTATCGAATGGACGGCGTAAGGACAACGTTGTCTCCTGAAATGATGCTGCTCGACAGGTTTTCTCAAGCCTTCGAAAATGCGATAGCTCCATCGCCATTAAGATTCAGGTGCACCGTGCATCTGTGCGGCCAGTCCTTCTCTATGGTTGCGAATGCTGGGCTATGGGAAGAAGTGGGAGGAGGAGGAGGAGGAGGAGGAGGAGGAGGAGGAGGAGGAGGAGGAAGCAGTAGAGGAAAAAGGACTGACCTTTGCAAGTCCTTGTTTATGACGCCTATTGCACTTAGCCACTTTGATCAAAGACTGGGTGCTATGTAACTCGGCGCGTATCGTGGAAAGTGCTTTATCCAATCAGATAACGGGGCATGCTAACCCCGCTGAGATGGACCTTCCCGAGGTTGAGAAGTGCTTACTGATGACGGCCAATAGGCCAGAAAGGGCCATCCCAGTCTACCTTGTCTTTGTTAACACTCATTCTGAAATCTATAGGCGTTATACTGGTACGAAAACTGACGGATCAGTAAGCATCCCATCCCATTTGTAGTGAGCGAGAGGGAAATGTGCAAAGCTCTATTCATGCGAGATTTCGTGGGCACGATCTAAGGTAGAGAATCTTGAATTGTATCATTTCAGCAATCAAATGATTAAGAAGTAGACAGAATGTTTTTACCGAAAAAGAAAAAGGAGACTGGAGTGGCCATTTCTGGCTTATTAGCCGTCGTCAGCCAATCATATTCAACCCCGAAGTGTGGAACACATGGGGCTCGATCGTGCGGCCTGTTAGATAGAAGTCCAACGTCTTTGACCACTGAGCCTCGGACTCATTGTCCTGTCGGTTTCGATCGGGAATATGTAACGTTAGAAGAACACTCACCTATCGTCCTCGTCACTCGTCCTGTTGTGCATTACGGGCTCTCTTTTGAGCCCAACTAACAGCCGCACAGCGACGCATGATATAGGAAGAATGGTATTACCGACAAAGAAAAGGGAGACTGGAATGGCAACCGACAGGATAACGAGCCCGTGGCTTAGTAGTTGGAGGTGTTGGACCTCTAACTAACAGGCCGCGGGATCGATCCCCTGGTGTTCCACAACTCGGGGTTGGGTATGGCCGGCTGGTGACGGCTAATCTGCCGGAAATGGCCACTCCAGTCTCCACTTTCTTTGTCGGTAAAACCATTCTGCCCATATAATGTGCTGGTCGGGCTCGAGAGAGAGCCTTAAGACGCAACAGGACGAGTGAGTTCCGTAAAAACTATCGGTGTGCGTTCCTCTACCATTGATTAAGAAGTCCCTGCAAGACATCCGTTATTAATCGTTGCACGAGTAGTTGTTCAAATAAATTGAATTTTGTTTCCGACTGCCGGTGAGAATGCTTGCCCCTTCGCTAAAGTCCTTTCCGGTAGTTCACATGCCTAACCGCGTAATGAAAACTATCTACTTCCCATGCGGCCAACTCAATTGGGCAAAAATGGTTGGAACATACTTTAAAGAAGAAAGGGACAGCGGTGAAGCATTTTCCTGCGACAGAGGGATTCAAAGCACTCTCATCCAGAATAGTCGGTTTTATTCGGTTCGGTTCGTAGGTTTAACGCTAAATTTTCGCATTGCTTCAGTGATGTCTAGACGACACACTTGTGTGGTTTCTCCCAACAGAGAGAACGGCTCTTCGAGATGCAACGAGAGTCGGAGCTAGAGTGCTTCGAGAACGCAAACTGCGGCAACTGGCGGCGGGCCTATCCCACCTCAGATCGTGTTCTTGAACAGCGTTATGCTCGCCTACTGACAAACGCCTTTCTCGACTTCAATAAGGGCAGTGAAGGCGACCTCCTCCATGTTATTCAACTCGCCCAGCCAGGAGGTCAACAGGTCTGTCTGCCTTTTACTTTTCGGCTTATTAACCCAGTTTGGTTTTTATTGTTAGTCCGTGAGCATGTGTTTTCGTCTAGTCAAGTCCTCACTAAGAGGAAACAGCGTGAACTTGTATGTTGGGAGGAGTTTAGAGACCATTTGTTGTCTGCAACCGAGATAAGCATGCGCCGATTCAGCCGAGCTCTCAGAGTAAACTGCCCATCCTCTGGGATACCTGGTCACAATCGACCGTCTACCCGATCGCAAAACAGCTTACTATGCTTTGCTACCTACTGTAATTACCTCAGTAGGCACTTATTTGTTTGCTATTTCGTGGCAATAGGCTTTCTTGACATGCCTTGACCTCGTCGGTTCCCATTACCCATGGACCCCTGTACCGGCTGGGTCCACACTGCCGTAGGTAGACTGGAAAGGCGAGGGAAGACTGAGACAACATCCGTTTCAGAGGTCTTAATATCCCCCTCGCTCAGCAAGTGTGCCAACCAACAGCGGGCCCCCTAAAGCACATCAGAGTGCTTAAACACAGCGGGGTCTAAATGATGTGTCACCACAAAACAAACGGACTGGGAACCCATGATGGGAGTCCTGTTTAAAAGGCCGCCGTCCAATCGACTGGACTCAATTTGTAGACCGTGCGTACTGTAGATGAATACACATTTATTTGTTCCAGTCACGGAGAAGGATGCTTAGGGCATTTATTTGCTGATGAGGCCTGAGGCGGTTGCCGTTTCAGCCTCACTCAGATAGGATTTTTTGCATGTCTTTAGACTGCCTTACCAGTGTCCCGTTGCCAAAATTAGTGCTAACAAGAAATAGAGAAAACACTCAATGCGCTTAACAAACTTCGAACCGCGCACCTAGGTGTTTACGAGAAAACACAGCCGTAACACTGATACCAAACACTTGAACCCACGGGGTTTCCAAAGACCTCTTGTCCAAAGGGCGGGCAAATTTTCAGTGCATACTTTCGCCGCTTAAATCTGCACAGCACAAGGTGCCCTTCTAGGTCCAGATGCAAACGTACAAAGACTGATTGAGAGGAAGCCTACGAAAAGTGTTTGGAGGAGAGAGTCGACTGCGGAAATCGCCCTCAACATCAGGATTAGCCTCAGTATAGCCAATTTGGGAGAATGCGACTTGCCTACTGGCTAGGCCGTGGGATATCCGGCGTGCCCAAATGTTGTGGCCTCTGAAACGTCTTTCAACGAAGGCCTACTTCGATATATGTGTGCTCTCGGGACTAATGACTGAACACATGAGGACTCTGCGTTGATAATTTCTCTATGACTGACTGAACACCGATTTAAAGGATCGGTGATGCACAAAAAGACTTTAGGCCATTACAGCAGTACCACATGCCGATATGCAAACGCTGGAATGCGGTAAGTCCCGGTCTTCCAGTTTGTGAACGGTGCTGTCTTACGTTTTCGTCACTCAGTTGATGTCTCAACACTAATTTCGATCGATATACCTTTCAGTTAATTCGGCGGAGGTTATAAGGCCTAGTTCTGGCTCACATACCCATGATGAATATTCTCTCTTGATCTTCCGTTATGTCACCTGGGAATCGTATTTTCCTCATTCATCCCCTTGCTCCGTCATACCTTAAACCCTGACCCCGAAGACCTTGTACTTGGATCCCGGTCGACATGGTCGTTGAGCTTAACGCTCTGCCAGTTTAGCCGAAGACTGTATTGCCATAAGGAGCGTTTGAAGTCGTCCGGGCGTAGCGCTTTACTAACCAGAGGAGAAATCGCATCGTTTATGTTATGACCCGGCCTGGTACTTGAAAGCACATAGGGAGCGTATGCGTACCCGACTCTTGTCCCCAATGCCAACGCGGCAGATAAGGAGAACACGACCGGCCACGAAAATGTGTATTAGGAAATTGCAAGTCAAAATAAGCTGAAGTAACGCATATTTATAACGCCCTACTGTGCTTCGCCGGCATTCGGCCGAATGCCCTTCGGGAAGAACATTCCAGATGAACCGGTCGATAATTCGAATATGCAGATCGATAAGGCCCGAGGGGAAAAGCCAATGGAGAGGCGCCAAGATTAAGATGACAGCGCTGTAGGGAAAAAGCACGTGGCCTCCAGTGATTGGCTGGCTCTTGCTTTTGGAAGTGTAGGCACTCACAACAGTTTACTTCTCTATGCTGGCTCTTACCTAGAGCACCGGCCTAGTGACTAGCAATTGATATGCAAAAGGCAGTCGATTACTTTTTCCTCTTGCCTCTGCAACCAATCGTTTTGGTTCCGGCCTATAATTCTAAAGCAAAATGAGACGCACGTTTCACCCCTCCCCCATGGACTGGCTAGGTCCGTAAAGTCTACATCCACTTACAGTAGATTGGTGTTCTATGCTGTCATGGTGGCGATAAGTGGAGTTATAGCAGTGTTTCTCACATTAACAGTTTTGTTCGTCGTAGTAAAATGTGTTGAAAGTCACGCCTATGGTTAATGGAGTGGTTATGTGTAGGGTGATGATTGCAACTTGAACAGCTCTGGATATGTCGCGTTCCCAGTCTCTTTGGGGATTTTGATACTGATACGAGTGGCGTTGGTGGTGACGCTGGATTCCGTGCTGTCAATATTCTCAGGACTTTGCGCTTTGCTAAGACAAAAGCATCATATGTTCATATTTTGGTTCTGGACTCTGCTTCCACAACATCTGGTTTCCTTTGTACCAACTTAATTCGTAAGATCTTTACTAAATGTGACGGAAGTCTTGCCTAGAGCGTTGAGTCGGACTTTTCCGTTCATATTTTACGCATGTGGAAACATAACCCCTTGAGGCAAAACTATGTCAACGCCCTCGGCATGTGGTTTTCTCAATACCACGACTAAAAACTATCATAATTAAATATGTACTCTCCCTTTCCTATTTATTCTAGCCAAGAAGAACTGTATTGAGTGTTCTGTGGTATTTTTGTCTGTCACCACATGTGATCAATTTAAGTCTCGCGGGACTAATGCCTTCCCCTTGTAGGAGGACGAAATCCGACGTCATCTGGAATTCATGGAACGCGAGGCATCCAAACTGCAGTCAAACGTGGTAGGTGAAGCCACTACACCCATAATTATTAAGAATATACCCCGTGCTACTGACTGGGTCGAGTAGTAGGAAAATTATATGCTCTCAGAACTTTCAAGGAGTATTTGAGGGTTGGCGGGGTGCGATGATACGCCTGGGTGCGCGTTTCGCTGTGCCAGCCACCTGTGCCCACTCCTGCCTCCGGTCGTCTTGCCTGTGTCTTCACATCGGGCCCAGGAGCAGGAGGAGGGGAGAGCGAGGTAGATGCTGTGCAAGTCTACTACCACTATAAACTATTTCACGCGCAAGTCACCGCCCTTGCTCCTACCCTGCTGTGGAGCATAAAATGGACGTCGTCGAACTGCCGTTGTGGGATAAAAGGAGGTTTGATGGGAACTTTTAAAAACAAACTCCTACAGGCGACTACTCAGTAGTAGTTATATCGTGTGGATGCTTGAGGGTGGAAATGCCGGAGGCGTATCGGCCTAACGGAATCCCTTTTGTTATATCATTTTATCGTTTAACAATTCAGAAAGGCAACCAACATTAAGCCGCCAAGTTTTGCTTGGAGTCCTTTATTGTGTCCATGTGGTTTGTTATGGAGAACGAGGGCGGACTAACGACGCCACGATCTAAGACAAAGGGAATACGTGACCACGCAGCGCACTGAAGGCCAGCCCGTCCACACGCGTACATGCAGGCGGCCAATCAGCACGTGATGCCTTTGCTCACACGTGCGGTCCAATCAATGGCCGTTCGAACGCGCAACACTTTTTCTCGGGAGGGATTGCCGCGCAAAAAACAGCCAATCCACGATCAACACGCCAGAGTTGGGAACTAGGCTGTTAGAATAGAGCTTTTGGTTTCAAGACACGCCTTCACCCATCGGGTCATAACCGGGTTTTTGAACCGAGAAAGGGTCTCTATTACCAACTTTTGTGCGTACACATCGACTTGCAGTGTATGTCCAGTAATTATTCCCGTAAGGACCGCGCACCCAGATGTTGATGAGGGAGCCATTGCATCGTGCACTCAAAACGCGCCACGCTGTAGATGCGCCAGATGGGTCACATCGGAGTCTGGCAGGCGTTATCGGAATTCGCACCATAACAAATGCCAACATCTCTGGGTGCGGTGACAGACCCAGTTTCCGGCAGGACCCCTGGGACCCCTGCCGCCTCCGCCCGCTTTTGTTGTTGGTTAAAAGTCTGGTCATTTACTGTGTGGGCCAGGAGGCGTGGTGGCACGCCTAGGTGCGGGTCCGTCCGCGCCAGCCACCTGCGCCCTCTCCCGCCTCCGGTCTTCTTGACTTTACCTTGATACCGGTCTCAGGTGACGGAGGAGGATGGAGTGCAGTAGGTGCTGTACGAGTCTACTACCACTTACGCACAAGTCACCGTGCCTGCCTTTACCTCGCTGTGAATCACACCGTGGACATCGTCAGCATCAACGGTCGAACGGTCGTATCGATTAATTACCACCAACGGTCGCGGATTAGAAAACATCGGCCGACTGATTGCTCCATAGGTAAGAGTGCCATTTGTAAAGAAGACAGGCCAGTAAGGACGAAGAAGATCTCAGGGGTATTTCGGAAGCAATAGTAATCTTAAAAAGACCTTTGATCCACATTTAAAAACCAGCTCATCCAGCCTTGGAGTTGGAGTTTCTGCGAGCTGATAATGCTAAACAAGTTCGTTGTTATGTGGTCACTTGTGAGGGCTCTGGGCCCGAACTGCACAGTCGCCTTACAACCTTCCATACGTCCTTCAGTCAAAACTTTGGTCCTTATTGTCTGTCGCATGGCAGCCATCTGATATATGGTAAAAAGCAGGCAACCTAGGATGGGTTGCTGCTGATGATGGTTTGAGTCCGCGTCACGCAAGGGTTGGGCAGGTATTTGCATCGAAAAGCACTAAGCGCTGGGTTAGATGGTAGTTGGTAGCCCTCCCGGTGCCGAAAACTCCCAGCTACCTGTCTTACGGGACCGGTGGTAATAGGGGCTATACGGGTGGGGCAAATGAGTAGAGGCGTAAATGGAGCTGGTAGTGTATGCCTGGAATTGACGCTCCTGTTAAAGTGAAAGCCTAATTTAAATAAGGTGAAAAATGCAAGAAGGGTATGGAAATGAGCATGCTTAATTAGAACGGTATGCGGAATAAATCCAGCCTTACCTCAGATTGGATAGAATAGCAACTGAAGGTGAACAACCAATGGGAAGAAGGCAGTGTGTCTTAGGGTCATTTCGCAGTATGTGCGACATGAGAACACGAGAATCAACCAACGGCACGCAGGACGGCATAACGCAAGCGGGGTAAGACTTTAATGCCAAGAATATGTTTGGGCAGAAGAGAAAATCCGCAAATAATAGTTTATTGCCACTGTGGCCACATTTAGAATTAAAACTATGGCAGTAGTTGTGTGCCATACGTGGTTGGAGTATCGGTAAACACCCTATCTGCGCGACGGTTGTCCTTTTCGTACACGATCACGCCGGACTCTGCAGGAGGTCTGGAGTAAAAAGACCCAAGGACGCAGGCAAACCGACAAAACGCAGACCCGCGCCAATCCGCCTAGGATGGTAATGAGAAGCATGATGAATCATAATCCGCCTAGGATAAATCTTTCGTCCTTTACTAAAGCTTTACGTGTGGGGAGTGCAAGACGATGAATCTATATAGGCATTTTTGCAGCGCCTCGTTCTCGGGGCGGTTAAAGTGAATAAGAATGTCACCCTGACAGGGCTTCTGCGTGTGCACTCCCAGACATATTGAGAACGAAATCACAGCTACTGAAATCGTAGTGCCTTAAACTGGAAGTGCAGGAAAGGATCGCTAACTGGCAGGGCTACCAACTACTATCCCGCCAAGCGCTGAGCTACGACTCCGCGCTATGCCTTGACTGGGATAGGGAAACTTATCGTCCGATGTGACAGGGTCATTTGGGTCGTTCGGCATTTTAAGGTCATTTGAGCGTCGACCGACCGAGTTCAATAATTCCTCTGACGTGCTTCTGATAGCTGTCTGCTGCGAATATTCATTTTCTATGCTGATAAACAAAGGTAAACTCAGACGGAATCCCCGACCAGAATTTGTCACTGCTTGCTTCTAATGGCTGTTGATTGGAAGAGAGAGATACAGTCAGCGACCAATTTCATGAAATGTTAACCGAAATAGTGCAGGTTATTGGCCTGTTAAAGGTCGCTAAGGTTCTTCTACCGCGGCTCCTTCTACCCACAAACTCGCAACAGTGGTGACTTATTAGGAAAATGTGTGTGCTACTCTGGGGATCGGACCTAGAGATTCGACCTACTCGATCGTTTTTACCCTAATGAAGCGCAATTTAAAGCTCACATCCCCTACGACGACCGACTCTTACTACTGATTCCAAGGAAGCCAACAAGCCACTGCCGATAGAAGCGAAAATGAGAGAGCACAGAAGCAACTAGGAAGAAAGGGGTGTGATTGCTAAAACAGGAAGTTTATTCTCCCGATGGTTCCTAATTCCCACTCGAACCTACCATTAGAGACCGCCAGCCGACTGTTTCCCCTGTACCCAAAATTCTATGGTGAATATTGCGATCCAATAAACCTTAGGGGATTCATTTTATCCAGAAATTTGCAGCAGTTTGTGTATCCATTTTGTAGGAGCCAAGGGAAGATCAAAACGTTTTAAGAAATATTTGAAACTTTCACTAGTCTTCCTTCAGAAAGGTTTATTGTTGTATGGAGTAAGGTAGTAAAGAGAGTTTCTTTCATGCGACTCAGTATCTTTAGGAGTTAGATATAGTTATGAACACCCTGCGTCACCAATATCGAGAATTAGGTGGGACCACGGTTTTACAGGCGAAAACACCCAAAGTCACAAAACGGCAACCCTGGAAATGCACGACGATTAAAATCCTACTTCCGTTCTTAACCCTAAACCCAATTTTAACTGCTGGTTGATTAAACCGCACTCGATAGAGTTGTGCCCTGCGTTGTCTCCATGGGGTCACGAATATTAAAATAGTCTCGACTACCCTAGTAATATAAGTATCCAATACAAGCAAAGATGCGAATTGCCGAACACGCGGCGGCGGTACGGAGAAATGACGCCAACTCCCATGTCGCGGCCCATTCGACGAGACCCGGCCACGCATTCAACTTCGATGAGGCCGAAATTCACGTGAGAGGGGATAATCGCGTAAGCCGCGAGTTGCTTGAGTCATGGTTCACGGGACCTCAGTCTATCAAAAAGTGCAACGATATCCCCACTCCATATTCCGTGCTGAGGCATAGGCCGGTTAAAGCAATAGACAACTCGGGGAGCGCGCAAGCCGGTGAGCCAGATGGCCGAGCAATCATCACGCCAGCATCCAACACGGGTTGATGAGATTTCAGCAATTAACAACTTGCATGCCGGCCAGCAAGCAAGTAGCGCACCAGCGGGCAACAATTCTTGATGAAGGGGAGCGCGGTTAATTGTCATAGGTATGCGGTAGCATAGCGACTGCATCCTATAAATACTGCAACTTCCTGTGCACAAGTCAGCCGTTTCTGCCACATTCCCTGATAATGGGTTCAAGTGAGAATTCGAAACGTCGGGCGAATAAAGCCCTTGTTCCAGCGATCGCCTCTTCTTCTTATAAGTAGTCAAATTTTACCCATTTTCGATGGATGCGGCCATAACTACCCTACCTTGGTGCAGCCAACGTTCCCTCAGCGGCTACCAACAAGGAGTATGCTGTTACACATGAAGTATGCCGGTCCTCCTCTATCGATCTCGAATTGTCACCTGATTCGTGATCAATGCTTGCATTTGGAAACCGTGTTGCCTGTTTTAACGCCTAAGACACTTCAAGTGAGGACGAACTCGCATGAGTTGCCCTCTTACGCGTAATTACGTAGTTATTTTCAAATTGGCGATAGAGGCGTCTATTTACTCCCGTTCGTGTACATTTTAGCCCGCAAAGAAGGTCGATTCGTCGACTCGCAGGCTCGTGAGGGGTGCCTCGGGGGAGGGCGGCAAAACAGCGTGGGATGAAAGAACGGTAAACGGGCGACAGTGTCAGGAGGTAGAATTCAGGACTACCAGACGTGCGAGGCAGGTGTACCGAGTGAACCAGGACAGCCATCAGCAGTTGCAGCGGCGCCATTCAGCAACAAACAACAACAAGAATAGTGCCAGAAATTCAGCTGCATCCAGCAGGTCTTACGTGATTGTCGAAAACCCCTCTCAAGTACGTCAGTTTGGGTCTTCTTGTTTCTATTCGGCAGCCGTTTCATTTGAAAGACGTGCTTGACTCAGAAAAACTGTCTACGGCCATGGATGAAATTTTGAGTATTGATTTTCGATTTTGAACTGCGAGCGAAATCTGATTTTCGCGTTTACGGTGACTGCACAAGGAGTGTGCGGCTCATAAATAGTGATAAGGGTTGCGTCGGTAATCGTCCATTTGTCGGCTATCAGCTGCGTAATGTGGTACACTGTGTGACACTTCATATTGAAATAAGTATGCACTCGTTTATATATCGGCATATCTATAATATGGTAGAGAGCGCTCATCGATCGCGTTCCGGAATCAGCTCGTCCTGTTGTGCTTTGAGACTCGTCTTTTTCAACCCTCTCTCGAAGCTATCATCAAGGAATGAAGGGAAATACAACTCTCCACACATGTAACACATGGCTGTCGAGAGTGACTTTTAGCTGTGCCACTGAGCCGTTCACGCAGCGCCCCGTAGGGGACCGGCAATTCGATGCGCTATCGGTTCGAGTGAGATCCGAAACGCCAGGCGAATAAATTATCTGTCGCTTGTTAAAGTTCCTGACTGTTTTAACTCCCTTAGGGTTCAGCGCAGAAAACAAAAGGAAAATTAACTTACTGGAACATTGTAGTTTTTCGTTTGCTCTGTTCACAATCAAACGCAAGTTCACAAATAGCAAACCAAAAGCCAAACTGAATAGTGAAGGGCTTCTGCACCGCATAATAAGCGATCAGCGTTTTTAACTGAGTTCTCGGGTGCGCCAATTTATTGTGCTTGGACCTGAGAATGACATCTCGGTCAACGAATGACCCACCATGTCTCCACAATGTGTGTACAGTGCGTGGCCGAACTCATAAAATGTTGGCTGAAATTCTGACATACGTTTTCGATTCGGAAGGATTTCTTAGGTGGATTTGTAGAACTAATTATTTTGTGGCATAATCCTATAGCATTTCAGATTCGGCAGGACGTCGATGGTTGAATTCAATTCTTTTCTACCTTCTCTAAAGACCGTACTCGGTAAAGAATGACTACATATGTAGCATGCATTTTTTACATTGATTTTTGATGGTCTTTTAAATTCAAATATATTTTATAAAAAACATAAACTAAAATGCTTTCTTTTACTCATTTGACAGAGAATCATGGCGTCTTTTTGTTGTATACTTGAGGAAGGAGTATAATTAGGCTTTAAAAATGTTTTATGATTCCAGGATAATTTGGGACCTAATCAGCCGTTGCCTTAAGGCTTAGTGATTTCAGTCTACAAGGTGCATGCGTTCCGTGTATAGGAAATCATACATTCTTCTATGCCTTTAAGAAGATACCATATAGAACCCATAACATTTTGCAGTGAATGCGAACTATGCTGCACATTTCATGAGGAGCAGTGTTAGGTGGACAGGTACGATGCTGTGTGAATGCACATTGCACAGACTTAAAAATCTCATAATTAGAAACGTTTTTAAAACCGAATTATACTCCTTCCTCAAGTACACAACAAAAAGACGTCATGATTCTCTACCAAATGAACTATGTTTGAATTTATAAGGCCATCAAAAATCAACGTAAAAAATGCATGCTGCTTAAGTAGTCATTCTTTACCGAGTACGGTCTTTTGAGGAGGTAGGAAAGAATTGCATTCAAACATCGACCTCCTGTCGAATCTGAAATGCTATTGGATTATGCCACAAAATAATAAGTACAACAAATCCACCTAAGTAATCCTTTCTAATCGAAAACGTATGTCAGATTTTCAGCCAACATTTCATCAGATCGGTCACGCACTGTAGCTTCCAGCCACATCGAATTTAAGACTGGATCCGGTCTGTCATGTGAGCCGGTTTTTAATTCCCACCTACTGTCAGCATCCGCGTTGGGAGTACTCTTCACCTTTTTTATCATCCCCACCTTCCCGTTTTAACTTGCAGCTGCAAAAGCCGACGAAAACTGCGCCCAAGCCACGTCGCTGTCCAGCGAAATGCACCAATCGCAGCTGCCGTGCGCGTCTTTCAAATGAAAAGCATGCTGGCGAGGAGTCAGTAGAAGGCGAAGACTTTGTCAATGTGGAGGGCGGTGAGGACGACAGTGAAACCCTGGCTGTTCGCTCGTCCGGTAATTATGCTCCAGACGTCTACGGAGAGAGTTCGGAGGACAGTTCGGAGGATGCCTCCTGGAGCCCACGCAATTACTTCGGTTACCGGGGGCACCTTGGGATCGAGTTCTTCACTGACAATGCGATGGCCGCTATGTGCGCCTATCCCAGGAACCCCCTCGGTATTGAGGCCCTTCAGAAACGCACCATGTCCTCGGGCAGGAATACCATAAGATTTTAGATCCCCTCTCTGCGCAAAAGCATCTACATACCGACCAGTATTCATGTCTTTCAGCTGTTTTTGTGGTACCGCTTCCTAACCCTCCACTCTCGGTATGCTCTCGTGTAAATGTACTTAAACTGCCCGACTTACGTGGACGCTAGAGGTGAACCGTTTGCTTGTGTCTCCACAGGCATTCGACTGATTACGTCAACCCTCGTCCTACCCAGCACTTAGTCAACCCTACTTTATATGTCTTGGTTTGCTAAAAGGTCCAGCGCCTCTGGACTGGTGTTTACAGTCCACTACTACCGCTGGGCTGTTACCCCTGCAGTTAACAATTTGCGGTAAACTGTCAACACTTACTGTGTTTTCTTTTTTTTCCTCCAGCAGCCGGGTCCTGCAAATTGGCTCAGGTTACACAGAGGTTCATTCGGTAAGATGTGGTTATGTAGTCCCACCTGATGGACACAATACTGCTGGGATTGAGGCTAGGGGTTAGGGTTATGGTTAGGGGTAAGGGATAGGATTTAGTGTTAGGACTATGGGTTAGGGGTTAGAGTTAGGAGTCAGGGCAACTATTTCTCAACCACTCAAAGTACAACTGCGCATTCCCAATAGCTTTTCTTTTGCATACAACTACTTGACCACGTCGCCTGTGCGTTCCCCGGCCCCACATGTAAAAACCCCCTATTACCACCGGTCTCGTATTACAGATGGCTTGGATTTGTTTGCTTTAGGTGGGGCCACATAACCACATCTGACCCATCATTGCAAGAGCCAGTTTCGTCTACAGTACTGCCTACCTTCACTACCAAGTGAGGCTTCTGACTGTGCCGTCAGTGAGAAGAGATTATCGAATTGGACTTCAGGAGCGATTAGTCCCGAAAAGAATCTTCTTTTAATTCAGCCATGGTGGTGTGCTGGAAGTCTTTGCGAAAACACGTGTACATCATGCTGAGGAAATGTACTTCTTGAAGAACGTATACTTTTCCCTCGACTTTTGGGACTCAGTTAGGTGTGCCTGTTGTGTGGTTACTCGTATCTACAACAAAGAAGCTAGCTAAAAGCCTAGACGTGTGTTTCGCTGATAATCTGCCGGCACGTGACATAGCTGCGAGTCATTTGGCAAATGAGGAAGGAGGAAAGGGGCGTCCACAGATCGTTTTACTGAACTCACTCGTCCCGTTGTGCTTAGGGCTCTCTCCCTCAAGCCCAACCAGCACCCACACATCAGTGCGTACTACAGACAAAACGACATTACCGACAAAGACAAGGGAGACTGGAATGGCCAGTTCTGGCTGATTAGACGTCGTCAGTCAGTCATACCCAACCCCGAGGTGTGGAACACCTGGGGCTCGATCCCGCGACCTGTTGTTTAGAAGTCCAACGCCTCTAACCACTGAGCCACGGGCTCGTTGTCCTGTCGGTTTCGATCGGGAATGTACAATGGTAGAGGGGAAGTCGCCTATCACGCCACGGAAATCACTCGCCTCGTTGTGCGTCGGGGCCACACTACACCTACTCAGATAAGATAAGAAGGAAATTTTTTGAACAACTACTAAGGAAGCTTACGTACCCTACCCTTACCGTTATATTCTCAACAGCATCGAGGAAAAGATTATTTTCTTGCATAGAAAATATTTAGCTTGTAGTTTAGAAATCCTAAATGTGTGCTACTTAAGTTGTCATTGTTTTACTGAATGTGGTTTCTGCAGGAGGTCAAAAGAACGTGCGTTCAAAAGCCGACATCCTGGCGAGTCCGAATTGTTATAGGGTTATGCTGCATGATAATCAGTATGACAACCCCACCTAAGTAATTCTTCCTAATCGGAAATGCATTCCAGAATTTTGGCCAACATTTCATGAGATCGGTCACGCACTGAATGACAGAAGTTCCTGAATTGTTAAGTACTAGATTTAAGCAAGTCATTACGAAAAGTACGAGCCTATTGTCCTGTTGTACGTAAACCTCTTACGGAAGAAAAAGTAGCATGATAAGGTCTGGCAAATAGGGTGACTGAACTGCAGCATTTCATGATTTTGCACTGACCTTGTCGTTCCGGGAAATTCTGCTGCCGTCACAGGAATTTGTCGCCCAATTCCTCTCACAGGCAAAGTAGTTTATCATAGTTGATCCCCTGCACATCATTCTGATCAGCGAAGAAGGATGAAATTCGGAAGCTAAGGGTTTGGAGTAAATAATAGTTCTTATTCCCGACTTTCGGCAGGCCCTTATTTTTTCCTGAATGCTTTACAGGCCGATCATCGCTGCCGACGACGTCCGCCGTGTAATCCACAACGACAACGAGGTAAGAGCAGAAACGGTGACTTGTGCGTGAATTAGTATGTAGTGATAGTAGGCTTTCACAGCACCTACCACACACTCCCCTCCCCCACCTAGACCCGGGTCTGCCACCGCACCCCCAAACGTTGGTATTTGTTAAAGAGTGCACATCCAATAACGCCTGCCAGAATCCAATATGACCTCCGTGTTGGTCTAGCGCATCCATCACGTGGTCCGTTTTGGGGACGAACACAACACAGTCAAGATGCATTTCCCCGTCTCTTGATATGCCTGCGGGAAAAAACCCTAGCAAACAGATCATTTAATAGCAGTTGGCCGTGTAAAACGAAGTCAAATAAAGATAAGAGGACAGTGTTCGTACCGTCAGTATGATTTATCTGTTCAATGCTAGACAAACAAAGTCTGCCTCTATTTGTACGGCCTTGCCTAAAGGATTTTAAGGGCAGGCTTTAGGCGTTCCTTGGACCATGCAATATGAAAAAAACATACGGGCGTCCGTCTTGCATCTCAAAACAGCTTGTCGCCTCCAACTATTCTGGAGCTGCGTCGCGAGCTGAGTTGTAAACAATGCAGAGGTTGAAGAACATTTTTGCAAACACAAGATACTACGTGATTGCAACAAGTAGTACTTTTTTATTGACACGCTTACTCACTGAGACTGTCTCGAACTGCTGACCCCGAACCTGCGTCAAGGGCTCCACGGACGGAGTACTGGCCTAATAGTTTTGCTGCAAAGGAAAGACGCGGAAGATTGGTAATCACAGAGTGTGAACTTGAGACTGAAAGTAGCTGTCGTTAGCAGTAATCGTTTGCCTGATTTATTCCCTGAAATTTGCAATCTTCTACTACTAAGAAACCTGTGTTTCAGTCCTAGCATAATGGTAACTAGAAGTCCATGTGGTCTGTTTTTCCTCTTATAGATAAAGCCACGTCTTTTATACCCACAACAAGCAAAAAACCCCCTAATATCTCGACACGTTTTTCATCCCCGTGGTATTATTTGAAAAATAACTGTTACTTCTAGAATACGTAATTGTTCCCACAACCTTGGAGGTGCTATCCCGTTGAGTGGCAAACGTGTGCACTTTCTATTATTCAGCGGCATCTACTTAAAAGGACGACTGAACTTAAAAAAGCTCTGTCCCGCAGACTTTATTTCATGTTTCCTCGTAAACCACCAAAGAGTTTAACGGGTGGTCGCTTGCCGGATGGAAAAAACTATTTAGCAGTTATCGTGTGTGCTCACAAGTGGAAATGCCATAACCCCGGCAAAAGTACATCTCAAGGTTATCCGGCTAGTTTAAAACCTGAATTACCCATCCAACCACCCACTCTGCCTTCCCCTCCCTCTTGATAAACATTTTAGTAAAACAGCTGCCTGATACTTTTGGCAGGATGATGCTTTTTAGGCTATTACATTTCCACGACGACGCCTGATGAAATAATGGAAGCTCATCCACCAAGGTTGTAACAGCATTTACCGAAACGTGACGTTTACTAAATCAGCCAGGACTAACCGCCCTCCTCCTCGTCGACTCTCCTGACTCCCCGGACTGACAGCTGCATCATCCCTGATAGGACGCAGATGTGTGGACGCTCGGTCCCGCGGATCGATACTTACATACGTCGTCTTATGATTGGCTTATCGGTTTCTACCCTGGACCAGGTAGATCAGGGTCGAAGAGGCACAAATCTCCCACCCTCTCCCTGAAACCCCATAGCCTCCCGGCAAAACATAAAATGAAAGAGGAGGGAATCTAGTTCGCATATGTTCACCTACCACACCCTGAAAAAATTTAAAATCAGTTTAGGCGGTGGTGGCGAAAGCAAGCGGAGACGGATGGCCAGCTTTGCCTGGATTTTTTGTGGAACAGGGACTTTTTGCGCGCCTTAGGCTTCGATTGTGTAATGCAGGCTAAGCTCCCCCTACTTTGGCCTCACTGTTGGAAAGGGAAGTAACCTTCCCTTTTGCCTTCCTGGGTGCTGATTTGCTGCCGGCTCACGGATAGCGTCAGCATATGACTCAATTAGTCGAATCTAGGACTTGAGGGTCAAAAACTCCGGTTGAAACTTTTAGTCCCTCCGTTCTGGCGTTGTTCTGTGACTGTCTGATAAAGGCAAAGAGTCAGTAAATGGCATTTTTCGGTAAGGACGCAATATACGACCCCATCCAGTGAGAGTAGGGGTTGTATGGGTGGGGCTTAAGGATGAGAAAGAGAGCAATGAAAAAGGATGAAGTTTTGGAAAAGCGTTCTGATTCCGTAAATAGGTTCAAATGAATCCACAGACGACCTTGAAAATGACCCGGAAAATTGCATACTAACGAAATTTAACATCAAAACACAATAGGGAGCTAAATATAGCACCTGCACAATAAGACGTAGAGTTCAGAAGTCAAGACAGTAAAATAGCCAATAGAAACCGGAGGACGAGTGACGGTGAACCCCATAAGATTAAAATGGGAACGTTGACCATGAGGCAAGACAGAGGAACACTGGGAAGCCGCCAAAGTGGTCAACAAAGGTAAAGTACATCAAATTTGGGTGTATACCAACCGAAAAATAAGCCGAATGTGATATTTAAGCGAAAAATCGTGTTATCTTGAAAGAAGGAAATCCGCGTACCCAAACTAAACAACGCTACTTTCGCAAGAATCAGTAGGCAGTAATAAGTAATATACAGAATTGGGCCGCCTCTTGCGTACTTTTCCATT